GAGGAGGAGGAGGAGGAGGAGGGGGATGCGGAAGGAGAGGAAGACGCCACAGAGTACGCACACCACTGAAAGACGCACGCGCGAACTCAGTGTGAAAACCTCGCGCGCGCGCTCTGGAACCCCGAGGGGCTCCACAATCCCCCGTTGTCGAGGAGGAGGAGGGGGATGCGGACAGCGGTCCAGGGCGTGCACAGCCCCGGTGCCGCAACCGCCTCCGCAGCCGCTCCGCGCGCCGCCGCTCCCTCCGAGCAGAGGCTTGGCAGCGCTCGGCCAGCGAGGCCGCCGCGGCCGCAGCGGAGGCCTGCCAGCGGGAAGCCGACGGCCTCAGGCCTGCCCGGCCGCTCCGCCGCTCCGCTGCTCCTCCCTCGGGTCCCCGCCTCCGTCCTGGGCCCCCTCCACCCTCTCATCCCTCCCCGGCCTCCCCGCCTCCCTCTCATCCCTCTCATCCTCTCCACCCTCTTCTCCCCCATTCCTCGCTCTTCCCTCCTTCCCCCCCCCAACCCCCTCCTCCTCCTGCTCCTGTTTCTCCTTCTCTCCCTGCTGGTGCTCCTGCGCCCGCGGCCAGTCGCGGATCGGGCGGCTTTCTTCGGGGTCCACCCGCAGCTACGCCGTCCTTGTCTACCACCACGCCCTGGGCCAGGCTCGTGTTGAAGCCGGCTCCACGGGGACACTTTCGGGCAGCGACAGTCGAAGAAAAACCAATGGCATAACCATCGAGTTTTGGGGCGGCGCCAGAGGCGTCGCCAGGGGGGGCCCAGCGCGGATCCAAGAAATCCGCGCGGAGCGCAATTTTTCAAATACGAGGAAAACATGTGGGTTCTCGATTTTCATTTTTTATTATTAAAATCAGACAAATATACATATCAGACTTATGACTACAGGTCATTGGGGTATCTCGGGGGTCCCGCAGTAATCGCCGATCTTATCTCGCAGCTTTCTTGCTCTGAGGACTTTCAGTGCACCGAGGGTGCACGTTGGTGCGCGAGCGAGCTGAGAGCTGCTCGCCTCTGCAGGCCGCATGGCGGACGGCGAGGGCGCCACGGCGGCGGCTGTCGGCGAGGGCCGCGCCGTGCGGGCAGGAGACTTCGTCCAAGTCACATGCTACGACGACGCCGACGCCGCACAGGGCGAGGCCGTGTTTCGGATCTCCAGCCTGTACGAAGCGAGCGAGCATGGTCAGTTCGCACGCGCAGAGTTCCTGTTCTGCACTGATCAGTATTTGCAGTGGTACGAAGAGAATGCGGGATCCCCTGGAGCCAGGAAGTTAAGGCGTGTTCTTCATTTTTGTCCAGAGGATGAGACGGCCATCCTATGCGCTGCAGAGGCGGGCCCTGGCGTGGAGGTAACGCACGTCGACGAGTTCGTTGTCCTTGAGTCAGTAGAGGACGCGTTCCTCCAGTTCCGGCGACGCAATCCTGCTGCGCGCTGGCCTGCCGAGCTGGGGCCCGAGCCGCAGGAGGAGGAACGGGGGGATCCCGTGGACGAGGAGCTGGTGCCCGTCGAGCTGGACGAGTTCGGGCTCGCCGCCAGGGTCGTCGATTCCGCGGGTGAGCTCGAAGCCGCTCGAGAGGCGGAGGGGCCTGGCGTCGCCGCAGGCCCCCCTGGGCGTGCCGCCCTCAAGGCGCGCGGTCGGCCGCCCCCTCGGGCTCGGCCACCTGCCGCGGCCGCGTCGGAGCCCGCTGGGCTGCCTGGCGGGAGCGTGCGCCCCCGCGGCACCGCTGGCGGGGAGACCCCGCTCGAGGCCGCCGCCGCCGCCGTTGCGAAGGAGCCTGCAGGGCGCCGCCCTGACGAGGAGATGCAGGCGCTCCTCCGCAAGAGGTTGGGCGACTTGAGGGGACGTCTGGGCGCCGAGGGCGACGCTGCCGCCGAGCCTCGAGGAGCCGCAACCGAGGGGGCCCCGCACAAGAGGAAGTCCCTGGAGGAGATCCTGGCTGAGAGGGCGGCGAAGGCTCCCAGGCGTGGGCCCGCGGACGGGAGCGCAGCTGGCAGCGGAGGCCTGGCGGGCGTTGGGCCCGAGCGTGAGGGCGGCGGGTCTACCGCCCACCTCCTTCGCTCGCTGCTGGGCGCGCTCACCCCTGCCGAGGGTATCGAGGGCTTCGGCATCACTGACAGCTTGGAGTTCACGCCTGGGAAGTCGTTGGCTGCCTCACGAGCGTTCTTCAGGAGGACTGCTCGCGACACTCCTGGGAAGCTGCTGACGGCCCATTTGTCGCACCTCAATCAGTTTCTCAGCACAAAGGGCATGCATGACGCCGAGGAAGAGCTCCCTCCGATAGTTAACAAGTTCCTGCTGAACATCTTCTTGGCCTCGCACCCTGTCTCAGCAATCGGCGAGGACATGTTCAGGCAGATGCGCACTCTGTCCGAGTCCCTGGACCTCTTGATCCAAGGGAGGCTCCCAGAGGCCATGGACATGCTCATGCAGAGGTTCAAGGCCTGCCAGCTCGCCTGCAAGGATAAGCATTGGAGGAGCGCGCGCTGGCTGGAGCTCATCCCTCCCGATGCCGACATGGCTGCCATCAATATCGAGGAGGAGGAGCTTCTGAGGAAGATCGAGTACGGCGAATTGAAGCTCGCCGAGCTCGCGGGGAAGCTCAAGCCTGTCGGCTAGGGACTCGGCCGGGGGTCCGCTCCACCCAGCATGGGAGCGACCCCTGCAGGCCACCCCAGCGACGGGACGACTGGTGGGCCAGCTGGAGGTCGGGGTTTTCAGGAGGCGGCTCGCACTGCAGAGGTGGCGGGCGCGAGTCGCCAGCCTTCACGCCCCCCGACGACGGACAGGCCCTCCAGGACTTTCAAGGAATTGAAGCTGCAGAACCCCAAGAAGGACGGCGAGACGCAGGGCAAATACCGGCAGCGCCTGGCGCTGCTCATGCGGGGCGACGGCCCCAAGAGGCAGGCGCCGCCAGTGCAGGGCGGTGCTCGCAAGGTCATCCTGGAGGGCGAGGGCTCGCAGAACCAGGCCGCCAAGCAGAAGACTGCCGCTCCATGGGCGGCACCTCGGCGGTGACGTATGCCACCGAGGCTAATTCGTCGTGTGCCAGCGGCGGAGCGAGCTGGCCTTGGACGCTCACTAGCATGTCCGACCTGAGGGCCTGGAAGTCCAGGCTTGCTGCGGCCCTCGAGGATGGCATGACCCCGCTCACCATCGCGCTCTGGCTGATAGATGCTATGTACACACACCCTGGCAGGCTGGGCAGGTTCTGTCGGGGTTTTCTTCACCACGCGCATTCACCGCAGCAGCAGGGGCAGAGGTTTCGTGATGTGCTGCCTCTTGCTGCTCCATCATTGGACTGTGCCAGAGCCTGGAAGGGTACGTCGAGGGGGTCAGCGGCAGGGACTTCGGGTGAACCTGGACCCGATTTTGATGGGCCTTCTGCTCGCGCTGTCGCTGCCGAACTGTGGGTCTTCATCCAGGTTATGCTTACGAACTACCAGTATGCGGGCACGTGCGGGGAGGAGGCGTGGGGCCACCACTCGCACTACTCCGCCGCTCAGGCCAACGCCGTCGAGGTCATGAGGGAGGCTGTCTCGTATTTCCTCGGGGGCGACCTTGGCAGGTGTCAGCTGCCCCTCCTTAGTGAGATCTCGACGCGGGCGTCCAGCGCCTACGACATCGACAGTGGCACGCGTGCGCTGCCCCTTAGGCTGGGAGAACTACGACCTGGCCTACCAGCAGCTGATGTCGCTGGCCGGCTGGACCCTCGTGCTCACGTCAGCCCTGAGGTGCTCACCTGGTTGGACGACCCGTCGGTGGCCCTCCTGCCACGTGCCCAGTGGCCTTCTGAGGTTCCGAAGGCGAGGCTGCTGGTCGACTCGCCTGCGGAGTGGGCGAGGATCGTTGGCCACTTGTACTCGCTGGGGATCGTGGAGGCCATAGAGGACGAGCAGATCTTTCGGGCTGACGGCGTCCCCGTGCTCAACGGCGCCTTCGCAGTTGAGAAAAGGGGCGTGCCCGAGGCTGGTGAGCAGAGGCAGTGCCGCTTCATCATGAACATGGTGCCAGCGAATAGTTACCTGAAGATCATGACCCAGGACCTGTCGACGTTGACGGCCTCGACCTCTTGGGTTACGGTGGTGTTGGAGGGCCAGCGCGTCTTGCTCTGGTCGGGTGACGACCAGCAGGGCGCCTTCTTTGTCTGGAAGATCCCGCGGGCCTGGCGCAGCTTCACGACATTGAAGGGCCGTGTCCCCGGCCGCCTTGTGGGCCGCCCAGATCTGAAGACGGTGCATGTGTGTTCAGCCGTTATACCGATGGGCTGGCTGCTGGCCGTCACGCTATTCCAACACCTTCATAGACGCCTGGGCCTGCGCCCTCCCCCCGCTGGAGCGGGCCTGCCTGAAGTTGATGAGTGGAGGAGGGACAAGCCTCTTCCCATTGCTCAGGTGGGCGGTTGCAGGTCTTGGTACCAGTTCTTCATCGACGACTTCGATGCCCCCAGGATCGTGAACGACACCGAGGGGGAGGTCGGCGTCGGCTCTGCTTACCAGGAGCAACAGAGGGCTTCCTACCAGCGCAACGGCGTGGCCTGGGCCGAGCACAAGGCCCACCTCGGGGAGACGAAGGTCGAGAGGATGGGCGTGCTCGTGGATGGTCTGCGCGGGCGCGTCTCGGTACCTCTCATGAAGCTCTTCGAGACCATGCTCTTGGGGGCCCTGCTGGTGACCAAGGACTGGGTCTACTGGAAGACCATGCTCGTGCTCCTGGGCAAGCTCGTCAGGGCTTTGGAGTTCAGGCGCGTCCTCTTTTGCATCCTCAACGAGGTCTGGAAGTTCGCGGATGGCACTCACTCTGGCTGGGTCAACTCGGAGATGACCGAGGAGATCCTCAGCGGCGTGGGCCTCCTCCCGCTTGCCTTCACGGACCTTCGCGCGGAGGTCGATGCGAGGGTTACCTGCTCTGACGCCTCGGAGGATGGTGGAGGCGCCTGCACGTCGCTGAGGCTGTGCCCCGAGGCCCTCTCGAAGCTGACGGCTGCTGCCGCTGCAGGCCAGGAGGGCAGGCAACACCTCATGGCGGGCCGTCTGCTGCTGGGGGAGGCGTCGCTTTGGCGAGCGTGGGAGTCGAGGAACCCTGGTTTGCCGCCCCCTGCTGGGGATAGGATACCTGCTGTCCTGGTCATAGGGCTGTTCGACGGCATCGGGGGCATGATCGTCTCGCTCTCAAGGCTCCGCACGAAAATCATTGGCTACGTCTCGTCGGAGGTTGACCCCAGCGCGCGCAGGGTCGTCAGGAAGAGGTGGCCCGGCCTCATCGACTGGGGGAACATCAGAGACGTTGGGACTCAACACATTGACAAGCTGGTCCAGCTCTTCGGCGGGATTGTCGACGTGGTCTACTGTGGCGCCGGCAGTCCATGCCAAGACCTGTCGAGGCTGATGTTCGGCAGGAGGGGGCTCGAGGGCCAGAAGAGCGCACTCTTTCGCGAGATACCGCGAATCCTGGGGCTGCTGAACGCCGCGTTCCCTGGGAAGGTCCGCTCCCTGATCGAGAACGTCGCCTCCATGCCACTCGAGGACATCGAGCGCATCTCTAGCGAGCTCCAGGTCACACCATATCGGTTCTGCAGCAGTTGCCTGGTCCCCAACAGAAGGCCGCGGTTGTACTGGCTCTCGTGGCGGTTGCTGCCGTGCAAGGGCTATAGCTACCAGGACAGGGGGCACTTCGTCGATGTCATCTCCGACGGCGCGGCGCGCGTGGAGCTGCCCTGGACCTCCCCTGGCTGGATCTGGAATGGTGGCTCGCTGCCTGTGCCGACGCTAGTCTGTGCTAGGCCCTCTTTGTTACAGCCTACTCGACCTGCTGGAATTGCTCGGGCCAGCCCCGAAGCGAAGGCTCGTTGGAAAAAGGACGATCATCGTTACCACGTCGGCCTTTACGAGAACGCCTGCCTACTCCAGCATGAGGCCACCATGGAGCTCCGCCCCCCGTCGGCAGAAGAGAGAGAGGTCCTCTTGGGGTTCGATCGAGGATACACCGAGTGTGCCGTAAAAGACGGGTCTGGCTCGAGCCTCGAGACCACGCGCTGCTTCCTGCTTGGGAATAGCTTCTCAGTCTATGCGGTCTCATGGCTGCTGCAGCACTCCCTGGTCGCCGACGAGTTCCAGCCACAGCTGTGGGAACCCCATGCCCTGTGCCACACGGGCAAGTGCAGGGCCCCGTGGAACGACAGCGCAATCTACCACCAGGGCGACGACTACCAGTACGAGCCCGAGGCGGAGCAGCTCGTGCGGCACTACCTGTCTATCGCAGAGAGAGGGGGCACGGACGTGCGCTTGGACGTGCACCTCCCGTTCCGGCACCGCGCGTGGCCGCGCGTGTCGCTCGAGCCCAACGTTTGGATGTGGAAGGTGATCTCAAGTTACCGTTGGCGTGCTGGAATCGGGAAGCACATCAACGCCCTCGAGATCCAGGCGGCCGTGAACACCATCAAGTGGAGGCTGCGGTCGGGCACGGGCCGCCCCAGGCGCATGCTACACCTGATCGACAGCCAAGTCGCCGCTTCGGTGCTGACAAAGGGCCGCAGCAGCAGCAGGGTCCTGCGGATGCACGTCAAGCGCTGGGGGGCCTTGTGCTGGGCGACAGGCTGCTACGTCATGCTTGGCTACATCGCGTCGGAGGACAACCCCGCCGACGCGCCATCCCGAAAGGTGTGGCAGCTAAGAGGCTCTCGCCGCAAGCTCAGAGGCTCCAGCGGTTGCGAGACTCCCAGAGGCTCTCTGATCTCAGGGTCAGCGCGGTCACGCTCAAGAGGTACCGTATCGCCGTCGCGGAGTTCCTCGCCTTCGCCATCGAGGGTGGCTTCCCGCTGAACAGCTCGGCCGAGGCAGACAGCGCGCTAGGCGCCTACGTCGAGGACCAGTGGGCGAACGAGGGCACGCTCAGCCATGGGCGCTATGCACTCGCCGGTTGCCTCTTCTTCGCCCCCGAGCTCCGCGCGGCCCTGCCCTTTGCGTGGTCCCTGGTCAAGACGTGGCAGAAGCTGGCGCCCATCAATCGCGCCTATCCGGCCAGCCCCGAGATGGCGCTCGGGCTTGCAGGTGCTGCAGTCTCGGTCGGCCAGCCTCTGCTGGCTGCCCTGGTCCTCGTCACGTTTGATGCGATGCTTCGGACCAAAGAGCTGCGTGATCTTACATATGATGATATCACGTTCGCCGAGGGCGGCGTCATACTGCGCCTGTCGGAAACGAAGATGGGCGTCAGGACCGGCAAAGTGCAGTTCGTTGTGGTGCGAACGCCCGTCGCAGTGAGCTTGCTGCGGGTGGCTGCGGAGCGCGCCCAGCCCACGGACCATCTGTGCCCGTACACGTACGTGCAGCTCCAGCGGCTCCTGAAGTCGCTCCTCGCTGTCGCCTCGATCCCGCCTGCGCGCTGGTCCTGGTGCAGCTTCAGGCGAGGAGGCGCCTGCCATGACTTTCTTTTGGGCGCCAATCTCGAGCGCACAATGCAGCGTGGGAGATGGAGTGCCGTGACTTCTGCACGTGTGTATATCGAGGAGGCTGTCGCCGACCTCGTGGATGTCTCAATGAACCAGCTCTCGAAAGATATATTGGGTCAGCTTGGCCTAATGCTACTGAATTTCGGCTATAGCCAGTAAAAGGTGTGTATGGAGAGGCCGCGGCGGCCACCCTGGAGAGTTTTTTCCTTCGGTGGCGGGCCCCCCGCTTGTACCGTGCCCTCGGCCTTGGGACCCCTGGGCCGCTCCGTGGGTCCGTGGTTCGGGCGCCGTGATCCTCGTGGTTTCGGTCTGGCTCGAACTCTCACGTGTCCTGGGAGCGCGAGGGTGGTGCGAGTAGCGGGGGGCCCCGCTGCGTTAAAACCTCAACACAGCTGTCTGGCACAGCTGCGAGATCTTAACCAGTGGCGAATGCGCGACCAAAACGAGATCAGACTTATGACTACAGGTCATTGGGGTATCTCGGGGGTCCCGCAGTAATCGCCGATCTTATCTCGCAGCTTTCTTGCTCTGCCATCCCACACCACCCGAGCAAGTAGGAGAGAGGCCGCGGCGGCCACCATGGAGAGTTTTTTCCTTCGGTGGCGGGCCCCCCGCTTGTACCGTGCCCTCGGCCTTGGGACCCCTGGGCCGCTCCGTGGGTCCGTGGTTCGGGCGCCGTGATCCTCGTGGTTTCGGTCTGGCTCGAACTCTCACGTGTCCTGGGAGCGCGAGGGTGGTGCGAGTAGCGGGGGGCCCCGCTGCGTTAAAACCTCAACACAGCTGTCTGGCACAGCTGCGAGATCTTAACCAGTGGCGAATGCGCGACCAAAACGAGATATATATATATATATATATATATAGATGTATACGTATATATCGTCATTGTTAGTATTAGCCTGCGTATTGTCTAATCTTCAGTATTATTAGTATTATTGCCATCAGTATTATAATTATTATTCGCCCCCATGCCGCCGGCCCCCCTCTCTTAGAATGGGACTTGCCAGAGCTGTGTTGGGATGTCTGGACGCTGACGTGAAGCAATGTCGGGACTTCACGCGAGGGCCAGTTTTTTATTTCCGAAGGTTTATGGCTTCGGTGGCGCGAACATGAGGTAATTTACGATGCTTCATGGCTTCGGGGGCGCGGAAATTGTTTTATTTACAAGGGTTTGTACTCGGAAATGCAAAAATTATATAATTTATGGGGGTTTATGGACTCGGGGGCGCAAACACCGTGTAATTTGGGGGTTTATGGCCTCGGGGACGCGTATCTCGTTTAATTTGCGAGGACGTAACTTACGAGGATATCTGGGTTCGGGAGCGCGAATATTGTTCAATTTGCGAGGGTTGATTGTTTCGGGGACGCGAGTATTGTATGATTTATTGCGGATTATGGCCTCGGGGTCGCGAGTATAGCGTAATTTAAGACGGCTTATGGCCTGGGGGACGCGAACATGGTGTAATGTACTACGGATTATGGCCCCGGGGACGCAAATATCAAGTATTTTCACGTGTCCCACGACCCCCTGGGAATTCAGACAACGCGATTGGGAGACGCTACCCAGGATGCTTTTCGTCTCCCCCCCCTCGCGCTTTCAGCAACAAGTAACAGGAAGGAAGCAGAAAGCAGGACCGTAACAGTGGAAACTGGAAGCTGCAAGTGGTACAGGGAGCTGCAAGCCCAATCTTCGCAGCCTGATGGCCGGGCAAGGGCGCCGGCGGATATTCATTTTTTAATAGCAGCGAGCGAGTTAGGCTAGCCAGTCAGGCTAGCGACAACCAGCGAGTCAGGCTAGCCAGACGAGCCGGCTCGACCCACATCCTGGCGGCCGGCCAAGCGGTCACAGCCGCGGGCCGCCGCATAGGACGTGCTACAAAATAAATGCAATATGTGCGAATCACTTGAGACTCCTTCAGGGAATTCCTCGCCGCACAATTTTTTTAAACAGATGATTTCTAGACCGGAGAGACCCCCAAAAAGCATGAGGAGGGAGCAGGAGGCACAGCGGCTCTGTTCAGGGAGCGGGGCTCCTCTGCTCCGCGGGAGGGGTCGCAGAAAGGGAGGGGGCAGCTTGTGTCACGAGGGAGGAGGGAGCCAGAAGGAGAGGAGGAGGGAGCAGGGGAGGAAGGAGGAGGGGAGGAGGGGAGGAGGGATGTGTCTCGAAGGAGGACTGACGAGGGGAGGGGGGAGCCAGAAGGAGCCAGAGGACGGGAAGGCGGAGGAGACGCGGGCGCGGCCGTGGGGAGTGCGGACCCAGCCCCACCGTTGGGTGCCGCGCGCGGGCCCGAGGCAAGGATCGGGGAAGGAGGAGGAGGAGGAGGAGGAGGAAGCTGAAGGGGAGGGGCCGGAGGCGGGCCGCTTCTGCGAGAGCGTGGTGCGCGTGCGGCGCGCGAGCGTGCTCATGCAGCGTGCAACAACAGGTGCTCATGCAGCATGCTGGTGCTCCCGCCGCTGCTGCTGCTGCTGCTCCTCCCCCTCCTCGCCCGTGCACCAGTCGCATTCGCCAGCGGCCACTGTCGCCCAGTCGCTTTCGCCGTCGCCATCGCCAGCGGTCGCCATCGCCAGTGGTCGCTTTCGCCAGCGGTCGCTTTCGTCGCGGATTTCTTTCGCCGGGGTTGCTTTTGCAGGGGCCCCTCTCTCCATGGTTGTCGTCGCCTTCGGCCCATATCGCCAGCGCGTCTGCTGCTGCTGCTGCTGCTGCTGCTGCTGCTGCTGCTGCTCGTCGTCCTCCTCCTCGTCTTCCTCCTCCTCTCCCTCTCCTCGTCCTCCCTCTCCTCCTCGGTGTCCTCGTCCTCCTCCTCTTGGCGCCTATCCTGTAGTCGCGGGAAAACCTCTTGACGGGAGGGGCGGACGCTAACGGGCGGGTCGGGCGGGCGGACCCTGATGGGCGGGACATCAAAGCGGGCGCGCGGGCTTTTCAGCAATCGAGCGGGCGTGCGGGTCAGCTTGGCGGAGCCTAGCGACCTAACTAAATGGGCGATTCGCGCGGGTGGGTGGCGACGACGGCCACGAGCGACGACTACGAGGAGTGACAGCAACGACGCCGATAACGACGAGGAGGGCGACGATATCAGCGACGGCGACGGCGACTACGACGACTTGCGGGAGGGGCGGCCGGCTCTAACAGGTGGGTCGGCGAAAGCGGCTGGGTGAAAGCGACCGGGCGAGAGCGACCGGGCGAAAGCGGCCTGGTGAGAGCGACCGCCGGCGAAAGCAGCCGGGCAAGAGCGACCGCGGGCGAAAGCAGCCGGGCAAGAGCGGCTGGGCGAAGAAGCGCCCAGGCGAAAGCAACCAGGCGAAGGTGACTGCGGGCGGGCGAGTGCGACCTGCTCCCCCCCTCGCCCCTCGCCTCCTCCTCCTCCTCCTCCTCCTCCTTCTCCTCCTCTACCTCCTCCTCCTTCTCCTCCTCCTCCTCCTCCTCCTCCTCCTCCTCCTCCTCCTCCTCCTCCTCCTCCTCCTCCTCCTCCTCCTCCTCCCCCCTGCCCGCACCCGAGGTGCACTGTGGCCGTTCTGCGCCGCCGCGAGGGCGCCTCCCAGCGCGCGGTGGCGGGGCTGCTCGCCGCAGGGCTGGAACTGACCCTGCGGGACTGCTGCGGGGGAGCCCCCCTCCGTCCATGCTGATGGGCCTGTCTTCCACCACCACCACCACCACCATAGGTTGGAGGGGGAGGGGGTCCTCCTCCTCCTCCTCCTCTTCCCCCTCGTCCTTCTCATCCTCGTCCTCCTCCGCCTCCTCCTCCTTGTCCTCCGCCTCCTCCCCCCGCGTCAACTTATGGTGGTGGTGGTGGTGGTGGTGGAAGACAGGCCGATCACATGCCTCCTTGCTTGTCTCCTTGCCTGGCTCCCTCCCTGCGCTCCGTGGGATGGAATAACGAGTTGGGATATGAGGTGAGCACGTCCCTCCCTCCCGCTCCTTCCCTTCCCGCCTCGTCCCCTGCCCGTCCAGCGCCCACTGTCGTCCTCCCTGCCCAGCACCCACTCCCTCTGTCTCCCGGCCTCCTTCGCTTCTCCACTGAAAGAGGGTGATGGGCCTGTTTTCCACCACCACCACCGTAAGTTGGATGGGGGTAAGGAGGAGGAGGAGGAGGAGGACGAGGAGGAGGAGGAGGAGGACGAGGAGGAGGAGGAGGAGGAGGAGGAGGAGGAGGAGGAGGAGGAGGAGGACCCCTTCCCCCTCCAACTTACGGCGGTGGTGGTGGTGGTGGTGGTGGAAAACAGGCGCATCAGAGGGGGGTCCCTGGGTCCGTTGCGCGGGTCGTCTTTGTGCCTTTGGTCCCATCGTCGGACATCTCGCATGGAAACTGAGTGAATGATGAACAGGGACATCGGCTCTCCGACGGGGGCCAACGCGCAGCTCCTCGTCCTACCACCTGTGCTCGTCGTGTCAGGATCGGGGCTGCATCCGCACATAGCCATGCCCAGTGCCGATGTGGATAGTGTGCTCTCCCACGATGTCCTGGGTGAACACAGGGCACTATTTGAGAGTGCGCATGCGACACCTCTTCGACGTATCCCCGACGCAGGTTTTCCCGGACATGGCGTCGGCCGAGGGTCCTCTTGCAGCGAGTGAATTTGCCTCCCCCTGGCGCCATGTTCGAAGTGGGCCAGTGGATTTCCGTTCGATAAATCACATGTTCAAGTTTAAATGCCTTGGGAAAGAGCGTCGTTCCAGGGTTTTTTCTTCTAGTTGGTCAGGCTGTCCCCCGGTGTCATATTCGAGGTGCCATGCCAGACCGTCCATAAAGCGGATTTCGTGCGCACCCGCTTCAGGTTGCCCCCCCCCCCCCCAGCGCAGAGTCTTCGACACCCCTACCATCCATGAGTCACTCGTCGAAAAATGCCGTGCACGGGGGGGAGGAGGAGGAGGGCAGAGACCCCAAGAGGGGCGAGGAGGACGAGAGCAGAGAGAGAGAGAGAGAGAGAGAGAGAGAGGGAGAGAGGGAGAGGTCCACGAGAGCTGTTGGAGGACTTCGGCATGGTTCTGGATCGACGAGTCGTGAGGAGGCACGGGGACTCTTCGTCCCCCTCGACCTCCCCCTCCTCGTCCGCCTGATCCCCGTCCTCCTCCTCCTCATCCTCCTCCTCCTCCTCCCTTCTTCCTCCTCCTCCTCCTCCTCCTGCTTTTCCTCCTCCTCCTCCTCCTCCTCGGGGCCCAGGAGGCACGCGGACACCCCAGGACGCTCCAGGAGGCCCTGGGAGGACGGGCCAGGCCCGGGGTACACGAGAGAACTGTGGCCCTCGGCGCGCGCACGCGGGGCAGTCTGCACGGGAGCGTCCTGGGGTGTCCGCGTACCTCCTGGGCCCGAGGCGGAGAAGGGAGGAGGAGGAGGAGGAGGAGGAGGAGGAGGAGGAGGAGGAGGAGGAGGAGGAGGAGGAGGAGGAGGAGGATTTCAGGTCGGGAACACCACGTTGATTCCAGTTCGGGGCCACCATGTTAGATATCCCCCCCTAGGTGGCCTGGACACGTAAAGATACGTGGCTCCAGCTCGGGGCCATCATGTGAGATGCTCCTTCTGGGGAGCCTGACCAGGAGGAAAAAATCACGTGGTTTCAGCTCGGGGACACCATATTAGATACCTCTCTGGGTGAAAGTACGTGGTTCCAGCTCGGGACCACAATGTTAGATACCCCATGGGGAAGTCTGGTGAATCACCAGCCGAAAAAGCTGTGTCAAGTTCTTGCACATCTGGTGGCGATGTGTTGATTTTGTCTGGCACTTTTGGGCCTCCATGCTGAGCCACCCCCAGACGACCACACAGTAGATACCCCCCGTAGGTGGCCCGCAACCGTAAAGACACGTGGTTCCAGCTCGGGGCCGCCGAGTTAGATAACCCCACTGGGTAGTCTGGACGCTTACAACAAAAACGTGGTTCCAAACTCGGGGGGCCACCTCCCCTGGGTGGCCTGGACACGTGAAAACACGTGGCTCCATCTGGGGGCAGCAATGTTAGATGCCCCCATGGGCGACCTGGACACGGGAAAAGAAGCATTTCATCTGAGACATCCTCTGAATTATGGTCCCCAGGAGAGGAGCAAGCTATAATGCAAAATAAACGTTTCGCTCGAGACACCCTTAAAACATTATGCACAACAGGCGTTTCGTTTGAGACATCCGCTTCGAACGAACATGTGTACTTTGACTTGTGTGTTTATCGATCGGGATTTCAAAGACCAGCGTTTCGCTCGGGACATCCTCATAATTCAATTCCGCCAGCCCTACGTGATTTCGTTATTTATCGCAGAATATGCACGTCCTCTGGCGCGTCCCCTGGCACGCCCCCATGCTGGCGCATTCCCTGGCACGTCTGCGGCGCGCCCCCTGGCATGTCCTCTGGCACGCCATTTGGCGCATCCCCTGGGACGTCTACTGGCGCGTCCCCTTGCGCGTCGCGGGGTACGTTCCCTGGCATGTCCCCTTGCTCGTCCCCTGGAGCGCTCTTCTGGATGCATTCTGACGCGTCCCATGGCGCGTCCCTTGCGCTTCGTGCGGTATACGTCCCGTGTCGCGTCCCTTGTCACGTCCCTTGGTGCGCCCCTGGCACAGCCTTTGGCGCGTCCATGCGCCCCCCTGTCGGTTCGTCCCAGTTCGGAACTCAGTCGGATCAGGAACTCGAGCTGGTTGAGCGCCCCGCACGTTTCGACTACGACCGGCTCTGGGCGAGCCATGCGTTCAGGCAGCTCGAGCTAAAGATGCAGAGCAGCGCGGTCAGGATTCGGACGCCAAGGATGACAGCATCCACAACGGCAGCGTGAAGCATCACAGTTCATCGCAGCACGGCGCGACACAGTACACCGCAGCACAGCACATCCCTTCTCACTACGTGACTAGCAAATCATGGGAGCCTGATACACCCTCTTAATTCCGTCTTTAGCGTCGACGATCGTCGATTAGCGTTTGGGAGTCGATGAGATAGTGCCGATTCAGCGTCGGGTAGCGTCGATTAGCGTCGACTTAGCGTCGATTAGCGTCGATTTAGCGTCGACTAGCGTCGATTCGCAAGAGCGGACAAGATGGTGTGGGAGTCTCCCATGAGTTGCCACCGAAGTATCATTACCATTGATGTCCTCCGCGCTGCCACTGCCCACTGCCTAGCGCTGGCCCGTGCGCTCTGCGCGTTGCGTGCGCCTCTCCCCCGTTCAACCCCCTGCCTGGCTCCGTGGCCTCTCTCGCTCATCTCGCCCGTCCTCGCCCCGCCCCTCGAGGAGGAGGATGAGGAGAACCTGGGTAAACCCAAGAGTCATCGACGATTTTGGAATAAACCCTCCCTCCAAGTTCCCTCTTCATTTGCGCCTACAGCGGTTCATTTCCATTGAGGGAACTGCCTCTTTGGAAGACGACCGTTTGAAGACCCTGAAGCATGCCAAGCATTGTTCTCGGTATTCCAACGCCACGGATCAACCTGACTGTTGCGTCTTGACGATCCGGAACCGTGCCAGACCGCCATTCTTGAGACTTCAACGCAGCGAATCAACATAATTGTTACACCTGAAGAATCCAGAATCCTTTGAAAACGCCAGTTCCGGCACGTTGATGATGGAAATCCGTGAACCTCTTGCAATTTTTGTCAACAGTTGTGTGCGGCGCTAAGGCGAGAGCCGCATTTTGAAACGGAACCGCCTTCAATCCGTGAAGCTCGTGTAAGTTTTTTAAAACGAATGTGCGCGGCGCTAAGGCGAGAGCCACATTTTGAAAGTCACCCTCCCTCCATTTGTGAAGCTGTTGTCAATTTTAAGCTTCGGAGTCATACATGGTTAGGAAGTCTCAGGCGAAACGCCCAGCCTGCCCTAAAAGCTGGCCTCGGGGTGCGACAGGGAGAAGTTATTTTTTCAGGAAATGGAATGGAGGAGGAAAAGGAGGAGGAGAAAAGGAGGAGGAGGAGGAGGAGGAGGAGGAGGAGGAGGAGGAGGAGGAGGAGGAGGAGGGAGGAGGAGGAGGAGGAGAAGGAGGGAAAGAGAGAGAGAGAGAGAGAGAGAGAGAGGATGCGGTCCCCCGGCAGCATGCTGGCGTACGGGGTCCTTGTCCCGGGGGGGGGGGGGGGGGCGCCTCGGGCGCCAAGCTGGCGCAGGCAGCGCCGAGTGCAGGGCCTCGCAGTCGCCCGTGCGAGGTGGCGTCCCCCGCCCCGGTTTTGCCCTTCTCCGCCTCCTCCTCCTCCTCCTACTCCCCTCCTCCTCCTCCTCCTCCTCCTCCTCCTCCTCCTCCTCCTCCTCCTCCTCCTCCTCCTTCCTCCCTCCCTCCTCCTCCTCCTCCTCCTCCTCCTCCTCCCTTCTCCTCTCCTCCTCCTCCTCCTCCTCCTCCTCCTCCTCGCTCGCTGCATCCCCCGCCCTGGGTGAGGTTTTGTCCTTCTCGTGCCGGGTGTGTCGGGGACGGCCCAAGAGGGGGGTGAGGACTAGGGGGGGGGGTGGATCTCATGGCGGGGGCCGTGATATCTCCCCGGATTTCATGGCGCCTCTTCTTACTTCATGGCGTCCCCAGGCCCCCCCCCATGGGCCGCGCACGTGCCGCCGGCCCATGATTTGCGCCCCCCCTCTTGGACGCCCCTCTCTTGGCCGCCCCCGACGGGTGTGCGCGCGCAGGCGGCACGAGCGTCGACGGTCTTGCCTGCACGCGCGCGCGTTCTCGTCGTGCTGGCAGGCCGCGCCCCGGGGCTGGGCGCAGTGCTGCGTCGGCCCGCTGCAGTCCAGTCGCTCCTCTTCCCCCCTTCGAGCGAGCGCAGCGCGAACAGCAGGAGGAGGAGGAGGAGGAGGAGGAGGAGGAGGAGGAGGAGGAGGAGGAGGAGGAGGAGGAGGAGGAGGAGGAGGAGGAGGAGGAGGAGGAGGAGGAGGAGGAGGAGCAGGGGCAGGGGGCGGGAAGAGGCCCCCCCCCCCCCCCCTCCAACGCGCGAGGGCGCCTTCCTCGCCTGGCGCGAGGCTCTGGCGCCCGCGCGCCTGGACCCCGCGACGGCGGCGGCACTCAGGAGCGGGCTGCCGCGCGCAGGGCCGCCGCCGTTGTCGCTGTCGCCGCGGCCGCCGCCGTGGAGGGGGGGAGCTGATTTTTGTTTGTTTGTTTGTTTTTTGTAAATTGCCTCCGTGCTGTATGGCTACAGCGCCCTGCCGGTGATGTTCCAGGCAGCTCTTTAATCCCAGGACTGGAGGGGATGAGGCAGCGGATAGCAGCTAAAGAGGAGGCGGGTTTTTAAAACGTTAGCGCTAAACGTCCTCGTGCTCTTGGCGATGAGGAAGAGGTGCACGATGTTATTTTCAGGTCAGCATCGCCCAACTAGTGGCCTGAGGGGAGACGCGAGAGGCAGAGCAGCGACCTTCAATCTCGGCCTGGTGTGACGATGTCCACTGCAACCCTTTTGGGCTTGAGGTGGAGATCCTTCTGGAGTTGATTGAAACAGTCCAGATCATGGCTGCCAGTGCGGCGATGATCGCAAGGCTGGTGCAAATGAGTTCTTCGACCAGAGCAGGTGTATGGTTTACACATGAGACAGACAATTAGTGGTAACCAAACGCTGCATTGTTGAGCAAGCAGTCGATTACCCAAATTCGGTAGTTTCTGCGCAGCAGGAGGGGCTCACCGTGACTGCCTTCAGGGCGAGGGGGCGAATGAGGCATGATGATGATGATGATGATGATGATGATGATGATGATGATGATGATGATGATGATGATGATGATGATGATGATGATGATGATGATGATGATGATAATGAGGAGGATGACGAAGATCAATATGCTGATGATGCTGCTGCTGCTTCTGATGATGCTGCTGATGATGATGATTAGGAGGAGGAGGAGGAGGAGGAGGAGGAGGAGGAGGAGGAGGCGGAAGAGGAGGAGGACCAGTGCAAACCCAAGAGTCATCAACTATGTTGGAATTAACCCTCCCTCCAAGCTCCCTCTTTATAGGCCCCTACAACGGTTCATGTCCATTGAGGGATTTGCCTCGTTGGAAGACAACCGTTTGAAGACCCTGAAGCATGCCAACACATGGTTCTCGGGATGTCAACGCCACGGATCAGCCTGACTGCTGCGTCTTGACGATCTGGAACCGTGCCAGACCGCCAGTCTTGGGACTTCAACATCGCTAAGCAACATAGCTGTTGCACTCGCATAATCCGGACCCCATTCAAAAACATTGTTTCTGGTACGTTGATCATTGGGATCCGTGAAGGTCTTGCAAATGTTTAAAACGAATGTGCGTGGCGCTCAGGCGAGAGCCACATTTTGAAAAGGAACCGCCCTCAATCCGTGAAGCTTTTGCAAATGTTGAAAACGAATGTGCACGGCGCTCAGGCGAGAGCTACAGTTTGAAAAGGAACCGCCCTCAATCCATGCAGTTTGTGCAATGAAAAAAAATCACTGTGCGCGGCGCCAAGTCGAGTGCCACATTTTGAAAACGGCCCGCCCTCAACCCGTGAAGTTTGTGCAATTTTTCAAAACGAATGTGCGCGGTTCCCAGGCGAGAGCCACATTTTGAAAACCACCCGCCCTCAGTCCGTGAAACTCCTTGCAAATATTTTAAACGAGTGTGCGTGGCGCTAAGGCGAGAGCTGCATCTTGAGAACCACCCGCCATCAATCCGCGAAGCTCTTGCAATTTATAATAACGAATGTGCGCGGCCCTAAGGCGAGAGCTACAATTTGAAAAAACTACCCGCCCTCAATTCGTGAAGCCATCGCAAGTTTTTATAACGAATGTGCGCGGCTCTCAGGGGAGAGCCTCATTTTGAAAACCATCCTCCCTCAATATGTGAAACCTTTGTAAATGTTGAAAACGAATGTGTGTTGCGCTGAGGCGATAACTACATTTTGAAAAGGACCCGCCCTCAATCCGTAAAGTTCTTGCACTTTTTCCCAACCATCCTGCGGTGTTGGGTCCTTGTTTCCAAGAGACAGCGCCCCGCGTCCCACCTTCCTCCTCCTTCCTCCTTCCTCCTTCCTCCTTCCTCCTCCTCCTCCTCCTCCTCCTCCTCCTCCTCCTCCTCCCACTCCTCCCTCCTCCTCCTCCTCCCTGCGTTTCACCCACCCAGGGCAGCGTCTCGTAGCCCCCTAGGGAGCCCCTCCGAAGGCTCCAGTGGGGGTGCCCGCATGCGGTTCCCCCACCCAGGGCAGCGTTTCGTAGCCCCATAGGGAGCTCCACCGAAGGCCCCAGTGGGGGTGCCCGCATGCGGTTCCCCACCCAGGGCAGCGTTTCGTAGCCCCATAGGGAGCTCCACCGAAGGCCCCAGTGGGGGTGCCCGCATGCGGTTCCCCCACCCAGGGCAGCGTTTCGTAGCCCACTAGGGGGCTCCACCGAAGGCCCCAGTGGGGGTGTCCGCATGCTGTTCCCCCACCCAGGGCAGCGTTTCGTAGCTCCATATGGAGCTCCACCGAAGGCCCCAGTGGGGGTGCCCGCATGCGGTTCCCCCACCCAGGGCAGCGTTTCGTAGCCCCATAGGGGGCTCCACCGAAGGCGCCACTGGGGGTGCCCGCATGCGGTTCCCCCACCCAGGGCAGCGTTTCGTAGCCCCATAGGGAGCTCCACCGAAGGCCCCAGTGGGGGTGCCCGCAGGCGGTTCCCCCACCCAGGGCAGCGTTTCGTAGCCCCATAGGGAGCTCCACCAAAGACCCCAGTGGGGGTGCCCGCATGCGGTTCCCCCACCCAGGGCAGCGTTTCGTAGCCCCATAGGGAGCTCCACCAAAGACCCCAGTGGGGGTGACCGCATGCGGTTCCCCCACCCAGGGCAGCGTTTCGTAGCCCCATAGGGAGCTCCAGCGTAGGCCCAGTGGGGGTGCCCGCATGCGGTTCCCCCACCCAGGGCAGCGTTTCGCAGCCCACTAGGGAACTCCACCGAAGGCCCCAGTGGGGGTGTTCGCATCCGTCTCCCCTACCCAGGACGGCGTTTCGTGGCCCCATAGGGAGCTCCACCGAAGGCCTCAATCGGGGTGTTCGCATGCGTCTCCCACACCCAGGACAGCGTTTCTTGGCCCCATAGGTCCACCGAAGGCGCCAGATGCGCAGTTCGCATGCGTCTCCCCCACCTATGACAGCGCTTCGTGGCCCCATAAGGGGCCCCAGCGAATGTCCCAATGGCGGAGTTCGCATGCGTCTCCCTCGCCCAGGGCAGCGTTTCGTGGCCCCGGGAGCTCCACCGAAGGCCCCAGTGGCGGTGTCCACATGCGTCAGCGCCACCAATTTCGGCGCACCCCTCACAAGTTTCGTGGCCCCTTAGGAGCTTCACCGAAACCGGTACCCACAATGCGGGACTCGCAACTGCACATGGTTGGGTCCTTCGTCCGGCTAATTAGAACGAGTGTGCGCGGCGCTCAGGCGGGAACCACATTTTGAAAATGACCCGCCCTCAATCCGTGAGACACTTGCAAATTAAACAAGAAAACGATTGTTCGCGGCGCCAAGTCGAGAGCCACATTTTGAAAACGGCCCACCCTCAAATTGTGAAGCTGTTGTCACTTTTGAAGCTTCAGAGTCATAAGCGGTGAGGAACTCTTAGGCGCAACGCCCGGCCCGTCCTAAAAATTGGTCTCGGGGTGCGACAGGGAAAAGTTATTCATAAGGACAAGGAATGGAGGAGGATGATGATGAGGAGGAGGAGGAGGAGGAGGAGGAGGAGGAGGAGGAGGAGGAGGAGGAGGATGAGGACGAGGAGGAGGAGGAGGACGAGGAGACGGAGGAGGAGGAGGAGGAGGAGGAGGAGGAGGAGGAGGAGGAGAAGGAGGAGGGTGACGAGGACAAGGATAATGACGAGGACGAAGAGGGCGAGGGGGAGGAGGAGGTACTGGGCTCCTCGCGGCATGCATTCATGGACTGGCCGGATCGCGCGTCTCCAGATGCCCTTGGGGCTCGAGAGACGGGGGTCAACGCAAACGGGGGTCAGCCAGAGCGCGCGATCTTGCAGGATCCTGCAGAGGCCAGGGTCGCATTGACCCGGGTTTGGGTGCAGGATCCTGCAGGATCTTGCAGGATCCTTCGCACTGACCCGGGTCTGGGTGCAGGACTTTGCAGGAGCTTGCAGGATTCTGCGAAGCCTGACTGACCCGGATCTGGATTGACCCGGGCCAGCAGATCCCCGATGCCCCAGCGGCAGGAGTGCCGTGGATGAGGCGCAGGCGGAGCTGGCGGAGGCGCGCCGCATGGGAGGCCTGCAGGACCTCGAGGTGCGGCTCCTTTCTCTCTCCGTCTCTCTTCTTGACGTCGTGGTCATCGCCATCTTTCTTCTGATTCCTTTTTTAAAGATACAGGTCAGTTTTCGTCGTCTGCATCATCATCGTCATCTGCGCCTTCACCGTCGTCACAATGTTCTTAAGCACCGTCACCTTCTTCTCCAATGTACTCTTCACAACACTCCTTATACTCTTATTCATCATCGTTGTCAGCGTCGTCTTCATTGCTAGCTTCTACTTTATATCTACATCGTCGTCATCGTCAGTGTGATCTTCATCCTCACCTCCCAGTCGACGCTGTGCCAGACACCTGGTCTACCTTGTGCCAGACACGAGCTTGGGCCGCGCCTGAATCTGGGGATGGCGTTCGTCGGCGACACTTTGTAAGCTGTGTTGCGCTATGGTCGTGCAGTCTTGGCGTGGCAGCACCGCGGGCGCGGTGTCGAACATTGGGAGCCCCCCCGACTGCCCTGCCGCGCAGAGCGTTCAAAACAGAAAAGTTCACGCGGTGACAGGGACCAGAGTTCGTGCTGTCATGGCAGAACAGTTCACGCGGTGACAGAGACCAGAGTTCGTGCTGTCATGGCACGGACATGCCGTTCTGATGTACAGTGGACTTGTGCCGCCCCAGTGCGGCGGCAGCGAGGGTGCGTGCGAGTACTCCGACAGCCCTTCGGCCGCCTTGTCAGGAATTTGCCATCGCTTGGTTCCTTTTTCTCTGACGGCGTCCGTTTCATAGGCATCCTCGAGGCGGAGTAATCAACCCCGCTTGATTTTTTTGTTTGCTCAGTTGTCCTCGCCGCATACTCTACTTCGCCATCGCCATCGCTGTTAATTTAGTCTGCATTTCCCACTGCTTTGCCGGCTGTCGTGCCCTCTCCCCGCGCCCGCACGTTGTCATGTCATCCGTCTGTGGATTCTTGTATCTTGCGCTGCCCAGCATACCTGCCGTGTCTTCAGCGCCGCACGTCTCCAGAGTTCACGGCTGTAGCATGCACCCGTTCATGCATGTGTGTTTGCACGACGTAGTCAGCCGCCTCGGAGAGATCCAGTGCCCGAATGGTGCCCAAACTCCCGTTGCACTCCTCGGGCCCCGTCCTTCCAACCCCGAGGTGGCGTTCCCCTGTCCTGGGGAAGGCTTCGGGTTGCGCGCACATGCAGCCACCCCCCAGGCGGTCCCAGCTGGCCCCAACAGGCCCCCCGAGTAGTCTGAGCTGGCCTCAGCAGGCCTCCCGCCTGGCCTGGGGCGGTCTCAACACCCCAACCCTGGGGTGCAGAGCGCCTCAAGGGTGCCACCGGAGGAGGCGCCGGGGTGTTGAGATCGCCACCTGGGGGGGCTCCTCCTCCTCGTCTTCCTCCTCCTCCTCCTCCTCGTCTTCCTCCTCGGCCTCCTCCTCCTCCTCCTCCTCCTCCTCTTCCTCCTCTTCTTCATATTCCTCCTCCTCCTCCTCCTCCTCCGCCTCTGCCTGTGCGAGACCCGAAGCCTTACCGCCCCCCCTCAGAGGTGGAGCGCCTCCGGGCGGAGCTCGCCCGCGCGTCTGCCCTGCAGGAGCGCGGGGGGCGGGGCACGGCCCGCTCGGCCAGGCGGCTCGGCCCTCCAGGGCCGAGCCCCCCTCCGCCCGGGCGCTGGACGCCGACGGCTCTTGGGTTGTGCTCCTCCTCCGCCTCCGCCTCCGCCTTCCTCCTCCTCCTCCTCCTCCTCATCATCCTCCGCCTCCTCCTCCGCCGCCTCCACCTCCTCCTCCTCCGCCTCCTCCTCCCCCTCGGCCTCCTCCTCCGCCTCCTCCGCCTCCTCCCCCATCCGCCTCCTCCGCCTATGGACGACGATCATGGAGAGGAAGCATGCTACCACATAATTTCCAGATGTCTAACACATGTTTTAACCATGTCTTAAGCATGTAAAACACATGCTTTGAACATGATCTAGAACATTTTCGAACATTTTAAACACATTCTTAATTCTATCTAGGATTGTCAGGGTGCCCATTGTCATGGCATCCACAACTTTTGGGCGTCGCATAATAAGGGGGCGATGAACCCAGAGACCCAACGTATTGAAAAACATCAAGGCGGAGGTTTCGCAGTGTTCGGCCTGGGGGGTCCTCGCTGTGCCCCAGGACCGTCAGAAAAACGACTCTGGATGAATAGCCAGTCCCGAAGAATGGGTCGAGACTTCTGTGGGCTCCGTGTTGAAAGCATCACGACGGCGGATCTCTGGGAATGGAGGGGGGTTAGTACCGAGGGCTGCAGAAAACGGGCCCCCCAGGGCCCCTTACCGGCCCCTTCGAGGAGCCCCCCAGGGCCCCAAAGAGGGCGTTCAGGGCCTGCTAGGTGCAAATTTCTTTGGTGGGCCAATTCTTCACGCTTCGCGTATCCCCACCAGCCCATCTCAAAACAGCAACTCTTGCGAAGCATGCCGACAGTCGTGTTTTTCAGGCGTGTTTCCGCCTGCCCCCGCATATCTCCCCTGTTCCTCCTTCCTCCCGCCTCCTTGTACATCCTCCTTGTGGTGGGAGCGGGAGAAGGACGAGGCGGAGGAGGAGGGAGAGAAAGCGCTCCTCGTGGTTTGAGTCGTTTGGGGTTTCTCGTCCTGGTGTGAGTCGTTCGGGCCCTTCTTCCTGGTGTGAGTCGTTCGGGCTCTTCGTGGTGTGAGTCGTTCGGGCTCTTCGTCCTGGTGTGAGTCGTTCGGGCTTCTCGTGGGTGAGTTGTTCGGGCCCCTCGTCCTGGTGTGAGTCGTTCGGGCCCCTCCGTCCGTGAGACTCGTTCGGGCTCCTCGTGGTGTGAGTCGTTCGGGCCCCTCCTTCTGGTGTGAGTCGTTCGGGCTCTTCGTGGTGTGAGTCGTTCGGGCCCCTCGTCCTGGTGTGAGTCGTTCGGGCTCCTCGTGGCGTGAGGCGTTCGGGCACCTCGTCCTGGTGCAAGTCGTTCGGCCCCCTCGTAGCAGTAGTAGTAGTAGTAGTAGTAGTAGTAGTAGTAGTAGTAGTAGTAGTAGTAGTAGTAGTAGTAGTAGTAGTAGTAGTAGTAGTAGTAGTAGTAGTAGTAGTAGTAGTAGTAGTAGTAGTA